ACGACAGGTCCCCAGGCTGGTGTCCGGCGCAGACGGCAGACACATGGACCATTAGTGGACAACAGTAGAACGCCTTCAATCACCAGCGGACATAAGGCACAGCTGGTGGATGAGCAATACAGAACTTCTAGCAGACACCGTAGGACAAGAGAATAGATAAGGATTTCAGTGGACCGCCACACACGGTCTCCGCACGTATGTGCTGCCAGAGGATCTGCGGATGCCGGTACGTCTCAGGCAAGCTGCAGACGTCCGGACACTGCTGTCGGAAGACCACAACAACGCTGGTGGACTCTGTGGACCGCCCAACCAGGTGATGTCCTTCCAACTGGTGAAGTCTGCGAAGGTTTACCACCGAAGACCTGGGTCAACATCGACGGTCCAGGAAGACGGGGCGTTTTGCAGCACCTGGCAGCCTCCGTGACCTCTCCGGAGCGCATCAGAGGCAGCTAGCGGACGCTCTCGCTGGTAGACGCCTGGAAGGTAGACGCCATGCAGAGGCTCCCAGGTGGGGGTGCCCGAGCAGAAGGGCGTCCGAGAGCGCGGCGACCGGTGGGGGAGATTCCGAGACCGATGGGGATGCTCCGTCGCAGCCGCGCGCTGCCCAATCCCCTTCAGTCAGATTCCGACTTCCGACACTACGGCACGGCCTAACGTGCACCATCCAGTCAACTTTTCCAATTTCGGTCGGAGATTTGGCCTATCTCCGACGGCCGGCCATGGCCGCTTAGCCGCAGCATGCGTCTTGATTAGCGTCACATGACGCACTCGCTGAGCAACTCGCCGCGGCAGATACCGATGAGCGCGGCGCAGTTTAGCGCCAATTTAGCGCCGGTAAATTAGCCCTTGTCCTCCGGGCTAGGTCATTAGCCCCGGCGCCGAGCCTCTCGAGGCCACTCGGGTCGGTGAAGTCGGCGCCCACGGTGGTCGCCCACGCCGGCGTCCAACCGGTCGGCGCCCGGCGGCGAGGGCCGCCGAGACTGGGACGTCCGTCGGGGAGCCGGCACGGCAACCTGCCAGCACGGCCGTAGCTCTCCTGTACTCCTGCCCGCATGGCGTCAATGGTGGACTGTTTTCGTGTTCAATGCATTTGGTTAGGTACTGGATTGTTTTGAGGTGAGCGATTCTTTGAGGGATTATTTCATATTTGTATGGAGCTTTGAACTAAGGAGGCTTTGAAGAAAGAAGTTTTGGAAAGGATGGATTTGAAACTGAGTTTTCCTGTAGTTCACAGTAAGAGGAAAATTCGGAGAGTTGTAGCAGTCTTCACTCTGAGCTTCCTCCTGTTGTAACTACTGGGGATGATAATTAGATTCTTATATCTACAGACAGCTATAATCTCGAGCTTGATGGGCATTAGTACATTTTTGGAGAGCACCTCTCTGTCTTTTGGTAAACGACTTCTGAATGCACCTTTTCAAGTGGGACAGCCTGCCTCATCCCGGTGTGGATAATACGACAACGTGGGGAGCTGTGCGTTTTTTTTTTAAAACGTTTTTTCCTACCGCAAGCCGCTTTGCAAGCGAGCTGAATCTGTCTGTGTTATTTGTTAACTCTTCGTGTTTGCGAAATGACAATTTTTGCCCTTTAAATCAGTCAGTGATTATTTTACGATTTCTGCCATCCCGGTTTTAGTCGCTCAGGTGGAGTTATATATCTACATAAGTGACGCACACATTAAAACAGTATTTAGGAAACATTGTTTCTCAAACGCGTCGGGAGCATTGTTTCTCAGACGCGTCGATTTGTTCAGGTGTTTAAACAGTAGTATTAGCCTTATTCCTCGGATAAAATCAGGAGGACGGAAAAATGTGATCTATATTTCCATTTTCCTGTTTTTTTTTTCTCCGAGGACTAAGGCTGGTACTACTGTCTCATGTTTGTGAGCCATGTTCCTCGCTAATGCACTGAACAACCTCGTAACTTTGTTCGGGTGTTGATAACCATTGTGTCTTTCCGAGCTCTTGGAGAGAAACCTTTAGAAACGGAAGGCTTTGTTGATCGCATGGCCCGGAACACAGCGGTATTCTTGGGTTGGGTGCTCTTGATTACCCACGTGGAGGTCAGTAGATGGGTTCATATGGGTTCAGATTCATCGGTTTAGATCATAATTCGTGTCAAAAAGCAGAAGTCTTTCCAAGACAAATGATGAGGAGACACTTCATGGCTGCATGGGTTCCATGGCACTGACTGCATTAATGTTTTAGGGACAGATTCATGAGCTATTTACGAGCCAGAGCCATTTACATGAAGGACGAACCGTTGCCGTCTGGCTCAGCTGACGTCGGTGCTCACGCCACTCACCGGGCTCGTTACGTCAGTATCACGCTCCGGGGCGCCTCTCATCTGCCCCTCCCCTCCCCCTCCCCGTTGAGTCAGATCCCTCCCTGGGTGGAGTGATGTCGGATTACGTTGGAGCTTTCTCGGATATCTCAGAGATTCTATCTCAGATCTTTGTTTTCTGTACTAGATCCGCGCTAGGTCTGACGATCCTTCGAAGCAATAGAAAAAAGAAACGTTCAGCAACATCAACGACATTTGCATTAGTCTGTATAACCTGCTGAGGCTGCTGTAATGCTGTTTCCAAAAAGTATAACACGAAACACGGGTTGAAGAAGAATGAGCCATTCCGTGACAAACTGCCGGCTTCATGCGTTTCTAGCACTGCGGCTGTGGTGGCACTCAGGCAGCGGGTGGGTGACACCGCGGCCAGGTGTACCACGTCCACCGGCCGGTGCTTCCGGCGCTGGGGCGTCGTTCTCACGCGCCAGCCAGTCGCCGGGTCTATGGCCGGCGGCGTCGGCACGTCCTTGCCGCCGACCCTGCGGCGGGTCACGGGGTGCGGCCGGACGCGGCGCAGCCCGGCCAGGTTGATGTCAGCGCGTGGACCGGGGCGTCGCCAGGGACCGCCGCCGTCCGCCACCGCCGGGCGGGTCCGGCGGGCCGGGCATCACCCGCGGCGCGGAGCACCGGCGGCGGATCCGTGACTCGGGACCCTGGGACTCCGGGACCCTGGGACTCCGGGACCCGGCCAAAGCGCTGTCCGCAGCGAGGGACAACAGCGGTCTGACCGCGCCGTTCGTCCCGGAGGCCCGCCCCGCCGTCCGTCCCTGCTGGGGGCCCGCGGCGCCGCTCCTGCCGGCTTCCGGTGCGCCCGGCGGTCAGGTGCGTCTCGGGTGGCGCCACCGAACCGGAGCTGAGCGCGCGGCCGACCTCAGCGGGCCTCCGGCCTCAGACAGCGGTCCGCTCGGGGCCAGCAAGCCGGACCATCTGCCGGTCCGGGTACGGCCGCGTCTGGACCAGCCGGGGACCCGCGAGGGGGCTGCTCGCCTCGTGTTTGGCTCGCGCCGGACGTGCAGCAATGGAGGCCAGAATTGTGAGTGACTCGCGTTTGCCATGGCGTTAGCAGTGGTTGCGTAAGGAAGATCGGGCCAGTGGCCGCCATCGGCGCTCCTCGCTCGGTGTCGGGGGCCTCCGGCTCTGACGACGTGGGTGCGAAGGTCGCAGGCGCACACGCGTGCTCGTACTTGCGTGTGCGCCTGTCCTCGCCACGCCGAGTGGAGCTCGCAGAAATGTGGTAGTGCGGTGAGCACTACGCATGGAGGTCATAGCTGATGTGCAGTTGACTTTGTTTCATGCTGACAAACATCAACCCATGCTGGGACCACCGTGGTTGCACATACTGCCAGCCACCTTATCCGATCCATGCATTCATAATGCGCGGACATCAAGCTGTCAACGTTACCATGTGCCTTCCTGTGTTGCTGTCAGTTTGATTTACCCGAGTATCATGACGAACGGCTTCATTTTGATTCGGACGCCGACCTTGGTGTGTGTTACTGTCGCTTGTAATAGTGAGGTAGTGCCAAGCTGACATATACAGGGTCGCACCCACCGCGCACCGGATTTATTGCTCCATGAATTATACTCATGGGTCATTTTCGTTGCGTCCATAGCTGCACGAAAACTAGAGGTGCACTTAGGCTTAGCGGAGCATGAGATGGGCTTTTCTTGGCGCGTATAGACATTGTACCATGCGTTCCTGTTCCGATGGGCTATTGCTGATGACAGGTAAACCATAACAGCTATTTTTGGGTAAATATCACTCCAGTTGTCACGGAGTGCGCGCGTACCACAATCTGTGGCGTAACGGGTGTTCAGATAATAGTGTTCGGGGTTTTGATTGTTTTTGGGTCTTCAAAAAAAGCCCAATCGTGTTTAAACTCGGTGATACAATCGCGAACCTTTGTGACCGCCGACCTTTTCAAAGGACCGCTTGTGCACATTTCACGTGCCGGTATGTCCGTGCGTCCTTGCGATTTCACGCATACCTGCAGAAGAAAACGAACATCATAAGCACTGAGTTGGCTCGTATTACCACTGCCAACAACATGCCATCGAATCTGATGCTGGTGGGTAGTGGCAATGGCGGTGTGGCGAGGGGCGTTGACCTGAGGTCGAGCCGCGAGCTCAGGCTGACGGCCGGGCTGACTGCGCCCGGCTGTGGCTTCAGGTGCTGCAGCAGGGCCGGGCTGAGTGTGCCCGGCTGTGGCTTCAGGTGCTGCAGCGGGGCCGGGCTGACTGTGACCGGCTGTGGCTTCAGGTGCTGCAGCAGGGCCGGGCTGACTGTGACCGGCTGTGGCTTCAGGTGCTGCAGCGGGGCCGGGCTGTGACCGGCTGTGGCTTCAGGTGCTGCAGCAGGGCCGGGCTGACTGTGACCGGCTGTGGCTTCAGGTGCTGCAGCAGGGCCGGGCTGACTGTGACCGGCTGTGGCTTCAGGTGCTGCAGCAGTGCCAGGCTGAGTGTGCCCGGCTGTGGCTTCAGGTGCTGCAGCGGGGCCGGGCTGAGTGTGCCCGGCTGTGGCTTCAGGTGCTGCAGCAGTGCCAGGCTGAGTGTGCCCGGCTGTGGCTTCAGGTGCTGCAGCGGGGCCGGGCTGTGACCGGCTGTGGCTTCAGGTGCTGCAGCAGGGCCGGGCTGACTGAGGCCGGCTGTGGTTTCAGGTGCTGCAGCAGAGTCGCACCGGCCGGTGGCGAGGCGTCATTCTGCAGAGCAACTACACGTCCCGCACCGGCAGCTTCCCATCCAGCGCCGTCGTCCTGCTAGAGAGACCAGGTCAGTGGCGCCCTCGGCGTGATACCGTCCGGGTGAGGGGGCTTCGCCGGCTTCGGAGCTTCGCCGGCTTCGGACGGCGCCTGTGACCGGCGCCGCACTGAGTCTGCGCGCTCAGCGCCGGAGGCACACCGGGGCCTGCAAGGCGCTGGCAGCCCCACCGACATGTTTGGGTCCGTAGCTGGCGGCCAGCCATCCGCTGTCGCTTACCTGACCTGCGACAGTGGCCGGCTATTCAGTTCTGTATGAACGGATACCTGTCGTAGGGGGTCCGCCATTCACGGCTCTCACGCACACCTCTCAGCCGGCCGCGGCGCCGGCTCACACCTCCCAGCTGGCCGCGGCGCCGATCCACACTCTCCCAGCCGGCCGCAGCACCGGCTCACACCTCCCAGCCGGCCGCGACGGCCGGTCCACACCTCCCAGCCGGCCGCAGCGCCGGTCCACACCTCCCAGCCGGGCGCGACGCCGGTCCACACCTCCCAGCCGGCCGCGGCGCCGGTCCACACCTCCCAGCCGGCCGCGACGCCGGTCCACACCTCCCAGCCGGCCGCGGCGCCGGCCCACACCTCCCAGCCGGCCGCAGCGCCGGTCCACACCTCCCAGCCGGCCGCAGCGCCGGTCCACACCTCCCAGCCGGCCGCGACGCCGGTCCACACCTCCCAGCCGGCCGCGGCGCCGGTCCACACCTCCCAGCCGGCCGCAGCGCCGGTCCACACCTCCCAGCCGGCCACGGCGCCGGTCCACACCTCCCAGCCGGCCGCGGCGCCGGTCCACACCTCCCAGCCGGCCGCAGCGCCGATCCACCTCCCAGCCGGCCGCAGCGCCGGTCCCACACCTCCCAGCCGGCCGCAGTGCCGGTCCACACCTCCCAGCCGACCGCGGCGCCGGTCCACACCTGCCAGCCGGCCCGCAGCGCCGGTCCACACCTCCCAGCCGACCGCGGCGCCGGTCCACACCTGCCAGCCGGCCGCAGCGCCGGTCACACCCTCCCAGCCGGCCGCGGCGCCGGTCCACACCTCCCAGCCGGCCGGCAGCGCCGGTCCACACCATCCCAGCCGGCCGCAGCGCCGGTCCACACCTCTCAGCCGGCCGCAGCGCCGGTCCACACCTCCCAGCCGGCCGCAGCGCCGGTCCACACCCTCTCAGCCGGGCCGCAGTGCCGGTCCACACCTCCCAGCCGGCCACAGCGCTGGCTTACACTCTCCCGCCAGCCCCCGCTCCGGTGGTGGATCACTCGAGGCATTTGGAAGTTCTCGGTCCCTGCTCTGCGTCTGGTTCCCGACCGCCGCGCGTCTTCCGTCCCTCGCCTCCGGCTGCATTGTCGCCCGGACCGGTGGGCGTTTTGCGAGAGGTGCGGTCGGTGGAGCGTGCTGTCGCCGGAGGCGCTTTGTTCGGCGACGGCTCAGCGGCCGCTTCCGCTCTGCAGAGACGGACGGGAGACGCGCGAGGTATTGTGGCGTTGATGCTCTGATGCCCAGCTGTGATGCCAAGTTCAAGCAAAGTCGTCCCTGTCTGTGGTCTGCGGTGCGGGTTTCTGAGTCAGTTTCGTTTGGCTTGTCTTGGTTCAGTTTAAGCGTCTTAAGGTAGGTATCGGCCACTGCCGGAGTTATATGATGAGGTGGAGAGAACGAGGTAATGATGAAGTCACGCTGCCCCAGCGCCAGACCAGTCATTACCCCACGCCGAGTCAGTGACTGTGTCTCCTGTGGACATTGTATTGTAATCATGGCAATTGCACACAGGCATGTAAGTGGAACGCCACAGATATTCGGGAGTGAGGCGGGACCAAGTAACCGACCACATCATTATCCGGTGGCTGGCCGGAGCAGAAAGGGTCCGGTTTGCCGTGGCAGGCGTGGATGCAGATATTGTGCGAACGCGATGGGAGAGTGGGCGTTCAGTGATGTGGTTTGCTGTTGGTACATCATACAGATGTTCCTCGGTGTTGTAAGCTGAGTGGCGCCCTCCCTAATCTTCTTCAAGCTTCAAGCCTCCTGTTCTCGACGCGTTGACAGCCCACCATACTGTTCTGGTGATGAGGAGAAGGACTCACTTCGAAGATTTCTTAAGAAACAAGTGCGTCCTGAACATGTTGAAAAATGTTCGATGCGCATTTACCCCTCTTATTGTTTTCGTCAGTTTACGTATGTCGCTTAGAACTGCCAGTGACGGTGTTCTTGGCCATACCAGTGACAGATATCGTGGTAAACAGGCCGCGACGCCACAATTCGCCGGTTTTCCACCGCAGGCCGCACCGCCATGCTCCGCCGGTTGTCCACCTCAGGCTCCGTCGCCATGATCCGCCGGTTGTCCACTTCAGGCTCCGTCGCCATGATCCGCCGGGTTGTCCACTTCAGGCTCCGTCGCCATAATCCGCCGGTTGTCCACCTCAGGCCGCGCCTGCCTACCTGTCCCGCCGGAAGCTTCACATTCTGACCGCTAGATGGCAGGAGAATGCAGCCGCTGATGTCCGGAAGGTTCCTTCCGCGCTGTCGGAGCTCAGTAATCTGTGGCGATGCGATGCACCTCGCAGAGCTCAGAGTGAAATAATTCGTGGAATGACTGGAATTTGGGATGAAATTGAGCATGAAATGAGATTGCTAATATGCTTTACATTTGCTTTATTAGCACTAGCCCGAGAGCTGAGCACTCCGAAGCCATTACATTGAACGACCGTTAACCGAGTGCCGCTTGGGGTCGTCTCATTTTAATTTGAATGGTCTTGCTCTCGGCTTCCTTTCTGCCCATGGGCCAGGGTGAAGTTAATGGATGACGCCTCGATGGTCGTGGGGCTCGCGTTCTGTGTTGCCAGGGGTGCGATTTCAAATGGCGCGGAACGAAGTTGTACTCAACTGTGCGCTACCCTCCCTCAACGCAAATACCGCTGTGCTAAAATGTTCTCGGCCTCTATTCTCTTCACTGCCTGCTGTCGCGTCGTGTAGAACTGCCTAGATTCTGGCATGTGGCCGTTTTTGTGCTCCTTTGGAGCGCTACTTAGTGGTGAGTGCTGGTGCCCGCTCGCCGCGGCCTGAGGTCGACAGACGACCCCTGACGGACGGCGACCGGCCGTTGACCTCTGGTCGCTGCCCGCTGGCCGCGGCCCGACCCGTGACCGCGGGCCATCAGCGCAGGCACACGACCGTAAAAAGTATTGATCTCGCCTGCTACTGACGGAGCCTGACTGCCGCCGGGCGGGACCGGGGACCAACGCCGGCTGGGACCAGGGACCACCCGCGGCCGGGACCGGGGACCAACGCCGGCTGGGACCAGGGACCACTGCCGGCCAGGACCGGGGCCGATCGCCGAGCGGTCCGTGCCGCTCTCGGGTGTTGGGTCACCTGACGTAAACCCAGGTCTCCACTGCGGTGGACGACGGGCCAGGCTGCCCTTCCGACCTTCGGTCCGCCCTGACCTCGGCGCAGCCCCCCCCCCCCCCCCCACGGGATCTCGGTTGTTGGTTCTCGCGTGTCAGCAGCTCTGCCTCTGAGAATAACACGACCCATGGGCCGCGAGACTGGTCCTGACCTCGTGTGAGCGGCCTTGACCTGCAGTTTTAACGCTGGCCTTTCGATAGCGCATGACCCCTGGGGACGCGCCTGACCTCTGAGAGCACGACCGCCCTATGTCAACGACCGTGCTATCTGGAAAGGCCATGCAATACATCAACTGGAATTCGCTGTGGTGCCGTTAGCAATTACACTGGCTGCGAAATGCCGCGGCCTTGGGGCTTGCCGTAACCGCCTCTGTAGACGCGGCATTGGTACGACATCCATAGCCGTATGCAATCTTCGTGAGCATTAGCACATATTGCTAAATACGCTTCTTACTGAGAATTGTTACACCGCCGCCTGTTGCCGGCCGGCGGCGCATGAAGAGGCGCTCCCGGGGGGCCGGCTGCGGAGTGAGGCGGCCGAGTGTGTCCGAGCACGGCAGATGGTGTTTTGTTGTCGGGCACCGGGTGCCGCCCGTGCCCAAATACGCCGGCGCCTGCAGATCTTTCAGACTAGCGGTGGGCCGCCGCCGGACGGCCCGCGCCATCGAGTGGCCATGTCAGTATGCAGATAGCCGCCAGGGGGCGTCGAGGTGCCCTTGATCGCCCTTTCTGCATCGCCCCGGGTCGCGGAGCACGGACCCGTCTGGGCGCTGAGGCCGGTCGCTGAGCAGCAGCGGGAGCTCGGCGTTGTTTGCGGCGTTGCCGCCTGGGCCTCGCCTCTCGGTCCAGGCACGGGCCCGGCCGGCAGCCGCGGCGCGCCGGCGAGACCAGCCTGTTGTGGTCTCGGCGGCCGCGCGCGGGACATGTCGGCGCGCCGGCTCTAATGGCACCGAGGGATTGACACCCCACGGACGTCATCAGCGGCAACGGCCGGCAGACGGCGGCGGGCCGGCCGGCGCCAGGGGCGCGCCCAGCGTCCGGCGCGTGGGGGGTCGTCTGACCGCCGCCGGCCAGGGTGGACCGGCCGACCGGCGATAACGATCCGCCACGCCGCCCCTGGCGGTGATGGGCGGCGGCGGCGGTGATCTCACAGCGCTGTGGCCGCCCCTGCCTGCGGGACCGGCAGGGCCGGCCGTCCCCCGGGACGCCACTGAGGGGACCGCCTAACGAGAGGAGGCGGGATGAGCCCCGCCGGCGGCCGGGGCTGGTCACCGACGGCAGCTGCCGCGCTCGGGCCCGGGCTGTCCGAGGCTCGTGACGGCCGGCGGGCGTCGCTGGTCGACCGGTCTTTTTAGCCGCCACCGGCCGCAGGCGAGCTGGTAAACTACTGTCACGTGGGACATTGATTAGCTGGGGCTGTCTGGACAAACAGGGCAGACTGGGGGCCAGTCGGAGGGGTGAGACAGAGAGGGAGAGGGGCGGGGGACAGATCAGCAAAGCTATTACCGCTCTGTCGACTCTTTTTGTGTGCGGCTAAGCGTTCCATATTGGTTTTCCTGCTGTCACGATTTTCCGATGCTTGCTGTACAGCTCACGTCAGCCCCGAAACGACAGCAAGAACTTAGCA